TAAATCTAGTTGATCCAGTCTGTCCTTATATTAGTGTGTTTTGAGTATCTGCCGATCAAATTAGTCTTCACTGTTTGCATTATTTCTTATTTGTCCGTTTCATAATCGGAACATGACCTTGCTACCTGGAACACGTATTTGAAACAAGGTCTGATATAGGTGATGTATAATATATGAAATATATGAAACTTTAAAAAGGTTTTTGAAAAGCTCAAGATATTCTAAAACCTTTCCTTGTAGCTGCTCTGCCATAAGCTGAGGGTTTTTATTTTATGATTTACAGTCAATTCCAAATTCTTATTCTCAGTAACCTTAAGTAAGGTAAAACCATTTATTGAGTAGTTGTGTATACTGTTTTGAGGAACTTGCATAGTCACACATTTGCTTATATTAATTTCCAGAGGCCAATATTTACACCATTCAGCCAGCAAATCGGCGTACTCTTTCAAGGCAGATAAATCGCTATCACTGTCCAAGCTCAACTGAACCTAGTGTCATCTGTGAATATTACACAAGAAGGTTTTATTGTAAACAGTAACTCATCTAGAATTTCACTAGGAGAAACGCGGTTCTTCACTGGTTTACAAAATGATAAGACGCCACTAAAACTCACTGTACGTCTTCCATGATAAGGGAATTCTTTCATGCATTCTCTTAAAATTTTATCAATTCCGGACCTACCGGAAGTGCTGAATATGAAGCCTTATTGAAGGTCTTTCGTAAAGTCTACGAATATAGAATCCAGTTTCCTATCAGCATCAGGTACATTTTTATAAATTTCCGGTGCCAATAGAAGGTTGTTTAGACAGGAATTACATACCCTAAAATCATGCTGTTTTTCGGTCAGAAGTTTTTACACACATCATGCTGGATAACAGCATCGGGAATGATTTTCTTTATATGTTTGGTGACAATAGTAGTTGCAGGACAGTAATTCATAGTCGGATTTCTAAGTCAGGTTTTAAAAACATTGTTGGGTGCACTCCATCAAGTACACTAGATCCACCAGAATTGCTTTTTAAAGTAAATTTTGAATGGCTTCCTTATTAGTGGACAGATATTCACTTCCTTGCCCAGCTTCTGAAAAATATGATATAGTTGTACTACCTTTTCCAGAAAATTCCTGGCTGAAGTAAACTGAAAGAGCCTCAGTCTTAATCAAATTATCATCAGGCCATCACCAACTAGTAGAGTGGTACCAGTAACAATTTTCTTAGTTCTTTTCTTCACAAATGCGAAAAGTCTTTTGGGACAACTCTGTGGGTTCATAACTATCTGTAGTTTTCAAGAGTGATAAATCAAGGTCTTACACTAATTTCTGGTTCATCAGTATTTTAGCAGGAACAATTTCAGCCAAGTGGAGTAAAAAACTTGCATTACCTATTCTTCCTCCTGTGTAGTGCATAATCAGGTTATTTATCGATGAGGGATGAATCATCAGCTGACTGGAAAACTTCCAAGGGATGAATTAAGATTCAACCATTCCAGGTGTATTCTTCGTTATAGAGCATCGACAATCTAATAATTGTCAGACGACTGATGTATAGTTAAACAACGTTTCATGATAGCTAAGATATCTTCAGAACAAACGTCAGGGCTGAAAACGGTCTGAATTACAAGCGTTTGTATCAGACGATAATACCCTACAGTCTCTAGCAACTACTGGAGAGTTGTGTTACCTAAAATATGCTGCATCAAGGCATTCTTCTTGATAGTTAATAGTAATCTTTTGTCGAATTTCATAGTTGGTTCTGGAGAGAAAGGAGCAATCCATCTTAGCTAGGATGCATTAAAGTCTTCTTGAATAAGTCAGTTGGCGTAGCTAACCCTTTGTGTAAAAGGCTTTAATATGAAGTCATCATACTAACGATTTGGATTTTAATATATTACTCCAGCAGGATTAAAGGCAGCAGAACTGCGATTGTACTGCATCCAATTTTGTCAGCTTAAAAATGTTACGACAGTGCCTTATTTCATCAGCTATTTACTATATTAAATGCTAGCTGTTTACAGCAACAGCTAAAGAATATAATAGAGAAGATTTGTAGCTCAGGTGGATGATTTGCAATTAGTAGTGTTCTCTGAGCTGGTTAGTTTAGTTGCGGAGCTTTCGTCATCCTTCTGGACAACATCTTCAGCGCAATTTTTAGCATGAAGTGATCTAATTTAAATTTTCCATGAGTGATAGAATTACGTCTCCCAGTAACCATCTTCACATATGTATTGACCATTTTCTATTCACTTGGATTTTAAACTTTCTGGTCACATGATCTACTATTTATTAGTTGGTATATTTGGTCTATATTAGCATGTTTGTTAATTGCACATTCGTTGGAGTACCAGGCTTCTAGGAATTCCCTGGCACTTTTGGTGTTTCCTCTGAGCACTGATGTTGTCCAGAAGGATGATGAAAGCTCCGCAAATATACCAACCAGCTCAGAGAACGCAACTAATTGCAAATCACCCACCTGAGCTACAAATCTTCTCTATTATTAATATGCATTACTATAAGGCCTTATCCAAGGACTGACTTATCTCTGTAGGTGCTAAAAGCACTCGTTTCCAGAATCTGACTGTGTTTCAAATCATGCTCCCTCCTTTGGTTTCTTGTTTCCAGTTGAACTAGCTACTTTCTTCCCAGTTTCATTATTCAGAAGCAGTCTGGTCTTAGAAATAATCAGTTCACACTGAGTTTGTGTGTGTCGACTAGTAATTGATTTTGTTAGTCAGATGAATTAATCACCACCTTAGGGAGTCTGCACTACTTGAAAGTGCTATCAACAACTCTCTTTCCCATATCAACCTGTTTTCTCATGATCACACCACGGAAACTTGCTAGGCATATTTCCTTATAAGTCCAGTAACTAATTCTAACGTTCAAGAATGTCTTTTAATTGGGTCGTCTTATAGGTTAGGGACCCCTGGTCATAAACGACTTAACTGCTCAGATTGAATAAGTAACTTTTTCCACATTTTACACTTTGTTACTCAAACAGTTTCATACTGCAGTTCCTATCTTCACGATCCATCATCCTATACTGTGAGGTTAAGGTCACCATGCTGAAAATTCCATACTTGTAGTAAAAATACGGTGTGGAATCAAGCTATAATAAAAAAATCTATGATCTGACAAGCAGGGTTACCATCCAATTTATCCGCAGAAGGTTCTGGGCGCGCGGTACTGTTAGAAGTGTTACAGATATTAGTTTCTTGCGTTTCCTTAAGGGTTTGGAACGCCTTGCAGTCCATGAATCAGTGGTTTCTGGTACTGAAAACCTAATCACCGGAAGTTTAGTTTATATTATCTTTCTGACTGATATTATCTTTGGAGAGTTCCATGGTTTTTGATAGCAAAGCGTAGGTCTCTTTGATCAAGGTGGACTCCGTAAAGTGACACGCTTCACATATCCAACACTCATTAATGCCATCAAACATGTCTGTGCTAAAGTGTTGGAAATTTGATTGTTCTTATTAGTGAGTTGTTTAATAAGGTTATCATGGAGAAAGCTGTTAGAAATAAACTTTCAACTTATGTAATCGTAACCTCTCTAAAATAACAATAATCTTCAAGAATTAGCTTTTAGTGATTTGATTTGTTTCAATTTTGACCAGGGATTGGTATCAGTCGAGGAACCATTGAAAACCAGGGCGTACTGGGCAGTCATTTCGTCCTAGTTTGAGCTTATCTTCAGTAAGTATGCACTACTAGGGTTCGAACCCAGATCCTTTTGGCTACAAGTCAATATCGTAGACTGTTCAGTCACTTGGACCCAACTCAGTGTTGGAGGGTGTGTTTTGCCAATGAGTCCTAAAGTACAATGATACGACTATCCAGTATTCCCTGGTTTTCAATGGTTTTCTAACTGATATCAATCCGTAGTCACATATGAAATAACAATGATCACTGGTAAATAAGATTACAGAAGGAATAACCTAATTTCAGCTCACTAAATTGCTAAAGGCAAAATAAAATTTCCATAAAATAATTGTAATTTGTTCAAAATGCAATTGGAATTTTTTCAAACAAATAGATATGTTACAGCGTGAAAATAAAACCATTGATCAGAACAGACGAATACTTAGTAATCAGAAGATAGCAAATTGGTTTCTATTCATAAGTTGTTTTACCTACAGTGAAAGTAATAAAGACTTAAAGTTATAACAATATCACTGAATTCAAACAGTTGATCGTCAGATGTAAGGATTTCACTACAAGTTATACTTAGTCTGAGTAGGCTAAGTAATTTCTACAATAAAGTGTTAAGTAACTTCATAAAGTATCTACATAAACCGGTCGTGTTAATTTTCACATAATGTCACACTTTAACACATGGGATTAAATGATCATAGGATGAAACGGATTTCAACTTTCACTTTTAAAAACACTAGAAGTTACTAACCTTTGAGAACTAAAGCTTTTTCGGAATTTGTTACTGAATACCTGGGAAAAACTAAAAGTCATCCCTAATTTAATTTTGTGTTTGTCTGAAATGTTCAGTCCCCATCGTTCACTGAGGACTGCAGGTAAAGCGAAGTGCACATCATGGATTCCAAAATAATAAAAGTTATCTCGTAACCACTGCACTCTTGGCTTCAGATGCATATTTAGTAATTGCAGAAAATCTCGTGTTTTAAATGAAGCTCTGAATAGATTTTATCCACATTAAATTTAGTACGGAATTACATTCTACGACAGTGCCCAAGTTCTACACTTATATTTAATAGACATTCTTTCACCTAAAATCAAAGTCCAAAGTAAACAGTTGTAAAGTGAATATACACGCTTACCGAAACGGTTTCACTCTCTGAATTCGGCAGTGCTATTCGAACTTATGATAAAAGAAGAACTGTTGATATTGATAGTAACTGTTGTGTTTTTGTGACTACACTAAACTTATTATAAACTTGGGTTTTTATTATTCATGAACTATTTTTTGTTTCACTCTTTCAAGCAAATAAAATTTGGAAATTGTTTTAATTTTTACTTCATTTCTGAATAGATTCATCGAGCTGGAGATGCAATGCGCTCTCTCATGTATCAAATGGCATTAGATAAAAAAGAAAGTCAACAAGTATTAGACGACCAAGTGAATCCTGCCTATTGTGAATCAGAATGGGGAAACTATGAAAATGACTCAAATTTTATTTACGATAATCCTGCTTATGACGATGAAGTGACAACAGATGTAGTTATACGCAAGTAGGTTTACCATTTCATTTTCGTTGCACAGTGAAAATGAATTGTTTTTAAATATCCTCTCCAGAATACGATGATAACTCCTCATTTTGAAACATGATACAGTTAAAGTAAAAAAATAACTTCATGAGGAGTGAATTTTTCAAGCTACACGACACTAGTTGAATATGAATTCAAAAGAATATTACATAACTATTATGCCTGAAGGTGTTTCAGTTTTGATACTAAATATGCTGTCACGTATGGTGCATTTCTAAAGGCGTTCAAAGTATGAAAGTCAATACAAACTTTTGAAACTTTTTTCTGCTGGTGTAGTAACAGAACGCAGTGGTGTTTTAGTGGCCAAAATGATTATTTGGCGAAATGATGTACAGTAATAATAGAATGGAAAAATCCTACTTTGGAATTTCAATTTGCAAACGATATTGGTATTCAGCTGCTTTTATCATCATTTTTTGCTTTCCGTACTGCTTTGGAAGTATCTTTGTTTCTACTGTTTGTGACATAATGCATCGCATAGCCAACATATTACTTAAAATTTCTGTTAGTAGCACGTGCTGCACTAGTATCTAAGGCAACTGTCATCTATTTATCCTTAATTCTGTGAAAATGTATAGCATTCACATGAGTAAATCTGGTGGGCTTTTATTATCAGAGTGCATATAAGAATAAAAGAGGTGAATGGTAGATAAAGAACCTCTGAAGCAGCGCTGCAGTTTGATATGATGACATTTACTGGTATAAACAACACACTTCTGTAAAATATTATCGTAGTTCTAAAGCTGACACATTACCACTGTTTGAAGTTTGGTAACAGTGCATTCACCAGCCACTGTTTTTTTAATTATTCGTATAAAATTAAGATGATTTCATACAGAATGAAATTCTCGGAATTTTCTTATTGTAACAAATTTAATACCTTTACAAATAAAATCAAGGGATAACCTCGAAATCAGTAGTTTGTGCTAACTAATTCAGGGACGGTTATTTGATATGGGAGTCAAACTGATTGATTGAAATGTTATAAGAAAATGAACAACTGAAAATAATTCGATGAAAGGATATCTCTGGATAGGTTAAAAATGTAGAAAGAGCTTAGTCTAAAGCAACCTGTATTCCATCATATGGGATCCTTGATAGCAGATGGTTAAAACAGGTTTCTAGCGCCATCTGTTATTAATAAACTTACAGTAATACACTTCTAATTATTGTGGTTATTTAATATCAGCTTAGCACTAGTCTAATACAGACACGAAAATCCCTCATTTTGTCTGTTTCAAGTTGAATAGTTGTCGCAATCTACTAGCTACAATATTATCTGATTCAATAATACAAAATAATGAAAGATTTTGTTTCAGAACTACTACTTTTCCTCATTCAGAAGATCTTAGACATTACTCAGTGGAACTTTGCAAATCAGTATTATTTGCTTTCATTGGAGGGAATTGATCAATCATTGTTGTTATTTGGGCGCCATAAACGCATGGTTTGATGATGCTTTAGAAAAACGACATCAGGTTTGCAAACAAAGGCATGGCTCAAGTGTACGTTGTAGAAGTCGCTATGCTGATGGAAATCGACTATTTCGAATACACATCAAGCATTTAGAAACTCAACATTTTCAGCGAATGATAACTGAGAAGTGTTATTTAAGAGGTGGTTGTCTTGGATTTGGTGGTTTATATATAACAGCTTGGTGTTTTAAATTGCAGGTTTGTTTTTCATAGGGAACATTATCACTCAGTGGAATGCTTGAAAGTCTAAAATATAATAGAAAACGAGAAATGGATTTCACTGCTAATTGGCGCCTGTTAGAAATGAAACTCAGTTACTGATCAGTATTACTCTGCTTTCTTTAAATAGGAGTATTTCCTAAGCTACGTTCTCTTTTAGATATCTTATTTATACTCCAAATAGTTTGTTGATATGAATTACTCCAAAGTGGGTCGGTGGCATAGCGGTTAGGACGCTCACCGACCAAACACATGGTCCGGGGTTCGATCTCCGACCGACGCACTTCTTTACCTCGCTAAGCCAGAAAGAATTCTGGTGAAGAGGAAGGGTTGGGCCTGAGGTTAGCAACCCCATCCTTTAAAATAAGCACTGCTACAGAAACTTCAAGCTACTAACTTGAAGCCCTATGTTCCACTGGAGAACGTGAAAGAAAAAAATTACTCCGAAAGTGGTTAGTAAAGAATAGTCGTCGATTTAATATAACACCCTATATGATTTACTTTAATTTTAAGAAGAAATACTAAATTACTACCTCGTTATTTTGAAAAAGTTTTGTTAAACTTAATCCGGTGATTAAGGCTATCCTGAATTCTCAGCAAATAACTTTGCAAGTAAACTAAGTAGTATCTGATTTAAAAAAACGAAGAACATTGAAATTTAAACACTGAACGACTTTTATGAGATTTGAGGACTCTTTTTTCCAAAAAGAGATAAATTTCGGTGACCGGTCATGTAAACAATTCACTAAATTATATCTTGTTTAGAATATTTGTCTAAAAGTAACTCGCTTAGCTTTCGCTAATAATATTTTGCAGATATTAAGGAATTCGGTACACATACTGGCTAAGCATTGCTGATAAGATAAACCGACAATAAATAACCATTTTTAAACTCATCAACAAATTTTGATTATAATTATTTGTTAGAGAAATATGATTTCACAGATATGCCTAAAGCTTCAAAATCTCGAATATAAGGTCTTCGTAGACTATAACACAAACTTGTACCTATCACAGCTAGAAATAAGTAGACGAAAGTCTTTTAAATAAGTTGTAATGGTACTGTACAACAACACACTTGTCTTTGTTAATTTTAATGAATAATCTGGCTGAAGTTTGATCATAATAACAGTTGAAAGGTATGCGTGTTTTCTCAAAGTTTCAATGAACATTTTAGAGATCATGGTTGTATATCTTTCAATTAATAAGAAAATAGCGTGTATATTGATTAATCACATTCACAGAATGCATGCTGACTCTACTGGGAAATAAAACTATCTGGAAACCTTCAAAACTGCGAACTACTACATTATGTCACATTCAAACATAAACCAGACGCACGCAGTTCACGCATATCATAACTTTAATTAATTGCCTATAAGACTGTTGAAGCACTAAATTTGGCAAACAGTGAGTTAGTGTAGTTCAAAGTAAGGTAGCACAACAAGCTTCTGTTATTTACCGTATCTGATGCTTAAACTTTACAGTGACACACCATTCAAGCAAGTATATGAGTGAGCTGTCTATTACAATCATGAAGCTTCTAACTTGACTGCAATACAGGAACTTAATATTGCTTTTAAACATTGACAAAATTCTGAAGTAAGAACACTTATGAATCAAATGAGCATGCTGTTAATTCATTCAAACCCTCATAATTATGAGTGAACTAGAATTCTAACTTTATTTATTAGAATGTATCTGATCACTCTAGCACATGCTTTTATTCTTTGTGACCATCCAGATCCATTTAATATTCCTTAATCTCTGTGTGATCACTATTCTTTACCCCACATATTCGCACTTATTATACTTTCTTTGCTTGTCTTCACTATCTTTATGTCAGTTTTGACAAGTGTGGCAAGTTTAACTTCTTCACTCTTAAGGGAATTTCTATGTTGGAAATTCAGTTCAGTTCAAATTGTCACATATTGAGTGTTTAGAGTACTGAGAGGATGTTAATTGACCTCACTAATTCATCTGCAAATGTTTCTGTACTTCATAAATGACATAAACTAATGGCAACGATCTATTTAGTGGAATCCAAGTTTTCATATTTGTTGAACCTCTTCATTTCTGTTTTATTTCCAGTAACTGCATAGTTTTTTAATGGTCTGTTTGTTTACTTTCTTAATGATCAACAGAGTTTATAATCACAATTTTATGAAAATGACTATACCTAACTTTGCATCAATAATTTGTGCAGTTTAGTTTGCTCACTTGAATGGCAGCTGTATCACTCAATGCAACATCAGTCGGTCGGCCTAATCTCTTTGATCGAAAAATTTTCCTCAGTGAACATGAAATGAAATGTTTTTAGTCAAATAATTCAATTAAGGGTAATAAGAGACATAGTATGTCAAGCCTAGTTCTCATTTTATTTTATAGACTGTGAGAATGTGATGGATTAAAATAGTGATTAAGAGAATTCGGAAATTGTAAGTTCTAAATTCTAGACAAAACTTTTAACAACTGAAGGACTCTCACAAGTGTACTTAACTGATAAGTAGTATAGTCAGTCTCAGTGTTTTTTTATTACTTGTAAACATTAACTAAGATGTTTGTGCTTTCTGAATAGGAAAAAGTGTAAATCTTAATACTATTAATAATGACAGTGATACTCACACTGTTACAATATCATCATATTGTGATGAAAAGGATATACGCATACATACAGGTATACATGAAGCACATAATATCGTTTTACCACTTATGTAAGATTACCTTCATTTTTTCAACATAACATTTTTATTTGATTTTCTCGTAAGCGGATGGTAAGTAAAGTTAACCAGGGTAAACTGCATAGATAGAAAAACAACTCAACAACTGAGAATATGAAAGTTAATTAGTATATGTGCTTTGAAATGTACATGGTAGAAAATAATAGAATGAATAGGTTTAAATTCTAACTCGCTTACGATCCTGTGTGTGAATGGTTTAGCCCAATGATTTATATGGTCAATTTTCGAAAAATATGATGCAGTACATATTAAGTAGGGAAAATGTTTCCTTAGTGTTTTGGAAAGTGATAAACACAAACAATAGAATATCTGTAATGGTTAACAAAAAGAATCCAATGTGAACTTTGCGTTGTGCTGACTTTCTTCTGTTTATTCATATTTCTAATCGATTTGTGATTCACAATCATCTACACCAAAAGTGTCACACTTTATTTCCACTCATTGTCGAAAATCACCACGTACACACACACGCACAATAAAACTACTTGTTATTGTCCACTGTCTGGTCTGCCTAATTCATCAGGCTTCCATATTTATCCCATCCATCAAAATGTATCATATTTACTGCATTTCATATTGTTCTAAGCATCTGAGTTGCTGAATCGTTATCTATTTTCATACACATTTTCAAAAATGTTTCAACCTACTGCTTTAAATCATTTCAAAGGAAGTGGAAAAAGAACTTCTCAGAGTAGTGCAACATGCTTTGGGTGGAAAAATATCGCTTCATGCTACGCATTACCGATTATGATATTACTTGAAGGTTTTGTAAAAGCAGTGAATACCTGTCAATAAAACCAGCTGAAAATTCTGTACTATGTTTAGAACAAACTCTTCATCCTAAAACTGTTATTATTATTGTATATCTGTGAAAATGAGATCATCGGAAAGAGAACTTTCTGCTTAAGCCTTTTGATTTATAATATCTCGTATTTAGAGTATATCAAAACAGTTAACCTACTGGACATCATTACCCTAATTTTGTTGATTTGTGTACATGAGCATGAAAACCTTATGTTGAACTGCTTCCTCGTTTAATTATCCATCTTCTGAGATGACAATATATTTATCAGGATTTCAAGACTTGTCATGCTTTTATACTTGCCCCACACTAAAGTTATAAAAACTTTTACTCATATCCCTGGGTTTTCTATTTCCAATGTATTTTCTTAGTAAATAAATAAATCTGTCTTTCAAGTTAGGTTAGGAAATGACATCAGTTTGAGAGTCACTGAAGACCAAAGAGTATAAGACACCTCTTTTGTTCCAGTTTGTAACTCTTAAGCAGCACTCAGAATTATAAACTAGGATGAAACAGTTGCTCAGTACTCTATGGTTTCCAGTGGTGCTCTAATTGATCTCAGTTTGGGATCCGATTTTGAATCAGTTTAATCTCTGCAACTGAAAACTCATCTTTCTTTATTTTATTAAAGTTTGTTTTTAAACTAATTCAAACGAGCTGTTCAAAAAAATAATATGTGTGAAAAAATACTTTGAGACTTTTATAATGTAATACGTTTTACTAAATGAAAAACGCGATATGCCTGTATTTAAAGACTAACTGAACTTCAAGATACGTATTTGTTTCGCTGAAATTTTATCTTAGCAATTGATATGCAGTTGTTTATATCATTTGTAACTGATGAATTTACACATTCCATGTCGACCATTCATTCTAAATTACTGTTGATTTTGTTTCAAGAAAACTAGCTGCCCTAGAAAATCTTTCACAGGCTGGTAAACGATGTACCTGGGTTGGACAAGACTATGTCAACTGGAGTTTGGTTGAGCCATTAGCCAAAGAACACCCTGCAGTAGGTAAGATGTCAAGGTTTTTTGGTTGATAAGTTTATATTCTTAATGTCGGATACGACAGTATTGTATTTACATAAATCTAGATAAAAGATATGCATATCTTTATTGCCAAAGCGCTACCTAACTGGTCCTTTCTCAAAGTTTGTTCATCTGAATGTGAATTCTTTTTCTGAAGTCATTCTAAATATCAGATGTATCATTCAACATACATTTGAGGCTGAAACGGATGAATGTTTTATCACTGTAATATTTTTGTTCGGCTTGTAAGGGGGAAGTTGCAAATTATGTGAAAAGAAAGGAATACCAATGATTTGGTACAGGTCTTATCAGCTCATAAGGCTTGTTCAGTTTCTTTCCTAATACTTAATTATTTCAACATTATCAAGACTTTTAATAAAGCTTAGCTATTAGAAGTGTTAAACAGTATACTTAAGATTTCTTTTTATTCGATTTACCAACTTCAACTGATCAGTTTCTTTGATCATTCCCACTTACTTGTTTAGTTAGTTGTAATGCTGTAAAAAATATAGTGACTGAGAACTGAATTTACTGACTGCAACAATTAGTATATAATCAAAGATGGTTATTTAAATAATTTAGTTCTCAATCTACACCTAAGTTACATTTATTCATCAACGTTAATTCTTACTTTTATTGACATTATAATTAATTATATTCAGAATTATGGGCATTCGACTGTTTCGGAGTTTTCAACTGTTACACATAATGTAAAGGAAAGCCCAATTTCTTCTTCACAAAACTATTTGCCTCCTGTGCATTTGTCCATAAATTCTTTTCGTAAATTATGGAACTTTTGAGTTTCGGTTTGTAGGGGGGCTTGTTTGGTTTCAAGACAGAATACTGACTGGTGTCCGTCAGAGTACCAATGAAAGCCAGGAAGTAATTGTTTCGTTATAGTTTGGAATCTTGAGCTGCATACATCCATGACCCCACCAGAAACAGAATCCGAGATCTTCAGGTTATGAGACGAGGTCGATGACCATTTAACCACTAGGACGGAAACCAGTGATCCATGAATACTAACTTCTGCTGATTCGCGATACAAAGTCCAACGCCAGTCAGTTTTATCTAAAGCTCACTAGTGCTTGAATACAGCATGAAGTTGTCTAGAACTCTAGTGAGTGATCGTGACCAGTGTGGTTCATCCCGTAGGATGTGAGGACAAACGCTCTCTGAGTGGGAGATGGGCTCAGTGCCTAATCTGAAGATCGTGCGTCTGATCCTTGGTGTGGTCATGGTCCTGGACTAATGAAGATTTCCAAACTTGGAAGAAACCACTGTCCAATACTGCTTGGTTCTCAAAGAATCTCCTACTAATATCGATCCGTGATTTAATTTGAAAAGTTTAGAACGTCAAATATACTATTTAGGTTCAAATTGTGATCCAATGTTCGCAGAGTATGAATACAGATGTATTTGACCAGTGTTCAATTAGCCTGGAACTAATTTTAGGCGACATAACCCGCCCATTTCTAGAAATTAAGGTCATTACAGGCACGTCTTGATGTTAAAGACAAGCATTTAACTAAGACTAATTTATTTACACAAGTAAATTCAATGAAATTCTTATCCATAGGGTCTACAGTCAACAGATTAGATTTCCTTATAAACTGATAGCAAATCCCTAGTTTCCACTTTAATGAAATAAGAAATCTATAAAAATATATCTTGAAATTTACATGGGAAAAGTATTCACTCCTGCATCACAGAATCCTCGAGTGAAAAACAGCTAAGAAGTTATCAGCCTCGGTTTACATAGGATTCAAGTTTGATTGCTGATTGATACCAGTTAAAGAACCACTGAAAACCAGGGAGTACTGAACAGTCGGTTTGTCCTAGTTTTGGACTTATCGGCAGTAAGCACCTGCCACTAGGATTCGAATCCAGGACATTCAAGCTACAAGTTAAGCTCATAGACTAACAGCTACTGAGATCCAACTCAATGACCCATGGACTCCAACTTCTACCGATTTGTTAATTTGACACCACCACCAGCCAATGTCATGCTTGGTGAGTATTTTTCCTTATTCCCAACCGCGTAGACTACATTGGTTATGACTTCTCACTAGGAGTCCAGGCAACTTCATCGTGCAGTCAATCACTAGTGAGCATCAGATTAATTTTCAAATGTTTATTTGTAAGTATTTGATTTGTTTCAAGTTTGATCTCGATTTTATATGATTCTCTTACTTGTATCAACCCGTGATCAAACTTGGAACAAATCAAATTCCTTCAAGCAAACTCTTGAAAATAGGGTACAGTGGTAGGAAATTGAAAAACACTGAAATATTACTTTTAAAGAGGCAGTATAGTTAAACAGTATAGGTGAGATTTTCTAATTTATAAAAGCAGAGAACTATCATTACCGTGTTCGTCAGTAATCATTAACTTCACATCTGTCAATATCTTGGCATTGCTTCCGTAAACTTGTTTGTAGAGAAAAAATACGTGTTAATTATGCTACATCAGCTGTACTTTATCATGTAAAGAGTTGTCAAAATAATTTTCAAACCCTTACTTCTACAGAATTATTAGTTAGAATAAATTAGAAAATAACCTGTATTTTATATCAGTCTTTAGGCAAAATAATCTTTTAATAAACTATGGAATCAATAATCACCTCATTCATTAGAACTGTCACTTCAATCAAAATAAATTTTTTTTAAAGTAAATATTAAAAGGCAAAAATATTTTCTTGTAAATTAAAATAAAATCATGTGTTGTATTGTTTCAACAAAATTTGAAAAAAAACTATCATGCACAAAATATTATTTTTGTAGACTTGGTAGATAGAACATGTGTGCCACGAATGCCATGGCATGATGTTGGCTGTGTAATTGAAGGAACTGCAGCATGTGATATATCTAGACATTTCATCCAACGTTGGAATCAAATACGCGTAAGTTATTTTCCATCAAATATGTAACTATATTTTGTCAATAAACTAGTTTTACCCACTATTATCAAATTGTCTATTTGCATACATATTAGTGATTCATAATTGGATAAATGTTGTTGTAAGTATAGGGTTTTTCTTAAAATGAATAAATTAGATGAATAGATATCCCATCAACAGAAATAACTATGTCCATTCCGCGTATATTTCGCCTTTTTTTTGATTAAATAAGAAATTTCGTCATGATAATGATAAATGAAGATTGACAGGTAAAGATAAAAAGAAAAAAGACTGACATATTGGAAACAGAGATGCATTAGGCACACTTTGAAGAGATATGACAGGCTGTGGAGCAGAACCTAACTGAGAAATGACGAGTTGGCAGTTTGGGGGATACACGTAGGACGTCATGTGAGAAGGAGTTGAAAGCTTGTGTCAAACCATGGAGTCAGCTAGAAAAGAATACAGAGAACAAGATGAAATGGAGGTGCACTGCTAGAGTCATATGTTTCACTCGGAACCCGAGGGAATAATAATAATAGTAGCAGTATTTCAAACAGTGGTCTTTTGAATAATGGTAATGCTGTGATATAGTTACGATACCTGATAGCTGATACTTTCACTTCTAAAAATGATAGTGCCTACTCACCTAAACAAAGAGCAAATGTTTACTCATTGCTATCATCGTTCTTCCTTTTGCACTTTATCTTTTGATCCTTTTTCTAGAAGTACTGAATAAATGTCTAAGGCAAACTTAGATCACCACTAATCTTTATTGTAGTCTATTTAGTACGTTTTTAACTTCATTCAGTCACTTCAAGCAAAACTGCATGAAATCCGACTGAGGTTCATATTGTTCCTATATATATATGTATATGTTTGCATAATCATTCAGATTGAAAATTTAGTAACACCTATAGTATAAACTAGGCAAAATAATTGTTTTATGCTTATCTAGATATTGTACATACTTAATAGGCATGAAGCGCAGTTGTAACATTATATGAAATTTTACATATTCAACCCACTCTGATTATTAATCACTGAGTATAATGTATGCATACATTTGTACTTGAGTGTAATATGAAATATAACGCATAAAAGTACTGCTGAGGAATAACTAGGACCGGTGTAATTAGTGACATTAAAATAGAAGAGTGTAAATTAGATTCTTCTTCTTCTTCACAATTCCGACTGACCAATATCACGAAGCAAAAGAACACAAAAGACCAAGTGATATGTACTTACGCTTGGATAATACACAGGTTATAAGAAATGATGTAACAAGCACATTGTTGTGAAATTCTGAGTTGGAACTAATCACTCATTATAATTAACATGCATAGAGTCTTCTAACAGTAAAAAGTCCAAGTATATATTTATTTACGAAGTGAAACCACTTGAAGAATTACTGGAAACCAAGGATAACTGGTTATCTGTTTAGTCCTAGCTTGTGACTTCGCATCAGCATTAACCTATGACCTTCAGACTGCTCGTGGAACATTTCAGTCACTTCGCCAGATTCTAAAGACCTTTGAATTATAACTTCTGTCACTTTTCTAAATGGTACCAGTGTCCTCACATCTGACTCGGTGAATCTCAGCAGTCATGATTTCTCATTCTAGTTTTTGAACAACCAACCTGAGGTGATTCACTCAATGAACAGAGGCTTTAGGATCATTTCATGATGAATGATACTTAAAATTAATCATTTTCATGCAAACATAAAACTTAAGTTAAATTATTCTCGTTTTATAATAAGTGCCAAATCATGATAAAAAATACATGGATATGAGTAGCTAATACTCTGAAGAATGGGGAACATTTTTTAACAAAATTTTTGTGGAAACATTAGTTATCCAGAGTTTTCTTTATCATTCCTTATTATTCATATGCCTTACAGTCTATTTAGTATATTTTATTGGTTAATAACACTAACACAAATGATTTTTAAAACTAGAGGATAAATGATAAATACCTTTTAGTCCATTACTTATATAGACTTACTTCTAAACACTGTTTTTGTTTTTGTTTTTAAAGTGAATCCTATCATCAGTTTTACTAATAGATTATTTCGTGGGAAGTTAGTCTTTTGAATAATAAATTTAAGCATAGTGTTTGAGTTGCCGGGTGAACAAAAGAATGATAGTGTTCTATCAACAGATTCTTTGGGAACGAAACATAAGCAATCACTGTGAAGCATTACGATTACTCTGGGGGTCTGTCAAGTAGAAGTCCACTCCAACTTATTGACACTTTGACCTTTTTATAAAGAAAGTTCAGTTTTAATAGGGTCTTCACACAACTCTGTTTCAGAAACTAACAGAATAACAGCTCGATGAATCAGACATCAAGTTCAATAATAAAGTCTTTACCACTAATTATCAGAGTTTTGTTTCTAAAGGGGATATGAGATTCCATCATACGGAAGATTTGTCTTTACGGTGACTTTCAACAAACATGGAATAAAGACTGATGGGTTTACCGTCTATTCACCCCCGATGGCTGGCATCAATAAAATGATACGATATTAATGAATCTTACACATTACATAGCTGATCAAACATTTACTATCAACACCCAGAAATACAAAAGCCTAGATTACCACTTTTCTATGCTCTTTTATTTAGCCTAATTTCTACTTTATTACTGAATAGAATACAGCTGTTATTTACACATAATCTCACTGAAAATTTCCACTGTTATGATTGCACTAGAACATTATTTATTTATACCTGTAAATAGGGAAATTGCTGTCTAATTCTCTGCATATCTTTGAATAGTTAAATGTGTGAAGCAGATTCAAGAAACACTATTAAGAGAAATGGATTTCACAGTACAATTTCTATGATGCGTTACACCTTTTCAAGAATAATATTCTCAAACATCCATTTTCCTTATTCGATAAAACGAGGAAGGATGTCGATATGTAATCAGGAGTTGTTATGTAATCTATGCTGGGAAGGTAGGCAGTTCAAATGACAAAGCTTTTAAGTGTGGAAAGATAACACTCCAAGTCGCTATCTGGACTGCATTTCGAACAAGGTTTATTTTTCATAATCGCATCACCCGTAATTACATAATTTCGAAACTTGATTTTCGTAACTGTCATCGTTCCTTCCCACTTGTAGTAAAGGTAATAGAATTTTACAGATGTTTGGAACAGGTGTTGAATCATACCCACTGCGTGTATTGCGGGTGGATTTGGAAAATAAAGCCTTAGTCATCAGTCTCTCTCTCCACCTTGTTAAACTGAATTTTAGGACTGTCACTTTATCCTGTCTTATTCTGTGCTGGTGTGGGGCTGCATGTAGTATTATAATTGAGATTTTTCCTAAATTAATCATGTTTGTGGGGTCTACTAGTCTGGAGTTTAAGTTATTGTGATCCGCTATCCTAATTCTCTCTTTCCTACTCAGATCGAGTTAGCAGACCAAAGTGGAAGGATAAATTCATAATTGAATTTTTATTCAGTGAATTTACTAAGGAAACATGCAATAAGAATCATTCAACACCTGTCGCAGAAACGTTCAAAATTCTACCTCCATTACAACAAATCGCAAGGAAGGATGATAAAGACAAAAACCCAAGTTTCGAAGTTGTGTAGTTACAATCGGACTATGGACGCAACAAACTGTGTTCGAAGCGTCATCCATAAATAATACTATTTCGCTGAGTGATATTTCGAATATACGAATAGCCATAAAGCTGTTAATCGCCACCTCTTTGAAGTTCTTCACATGTATTAATTCCACATAGTTTTAGTCCTGTACCAAAAACTGCCCATGTATTTAGTCGAATACGACAAGCGTCTAGTAAATACAACTAGTATTTCTTACTCCTGAGAGAAAAACATTTTGTTAAGTCACCTATAAATCATCATTATTACCTTGAGTTTCGAGTGGAACATAGGACTCGGACTGTGTGAGTTTCAAATAGTGAACTGAATTTAAGGTGTTACAAGTCAACTTAAACAGCCAGCTAAAAATTGGGTGGTTTGAAATGATTCGGCTTTCTGAGGTCAGTCAAACTGGGTACAACGCTGATAAACGCGGATGAATGAAACGACCATCAGGTGCTTAGCTCACTTCGGTCTGGCTAGTAAGCACTAGTGGTTGATATGAGTGGTACACAACTACTCATCTGAATCACCAGATCACATATTGTGTTCTGAATAATTTGGTTTTCAAAGAAAACTCCTTGAAACATGTAAATTGAAAATCTTTTTTTTAAAAGTTTATGATGACCATATTTGGTTTTTCGACAGACTTAAATTAATGTAGATAATGTGGAAATTTTAAATATAGGAGACACCAAAAATGCCAGGGATGTCTGGTACTAGAAGTCTGGTACTCAATTGAAATAACAATCAACAGACATATCACTATATGCCAGATTTACCATCTGATTAAAAGTAAATCATATGACAAGAAAATTAAAATTCCAGGCCAATAATAATGATCATTGGAGACGTAAATTAGCAGCCAGCCACGACAGTGGTTGCCAGGAGATACATTTACATCATTCATGGAAAACTCAGATAAGTTCATTTTGTACTGTGTCGGTGGTATAGTAGTAGAATGCTAGCCGACTCCGCATGTGGTCCGGGGTTCGAGCCCCGGTCGACGCACTCTTTTACCTCGCTAAGTCAATTATAAAACTGGTAAAGAGGAAACTTTGGGCATAAGACCAGCAACCCCACCCCGTAAAAATTAACACCATTGTTACCAAAACTTTAAAGCTCTAGCTTGAAGCCCTATGTTCCACTGAGAACGAAAAAGAATAAAATAAGTAATAACCATATTATATTAAAACTTTCTCTGAAGATGTTATCTAGAAGGATGACGAAATTTTAACAATTCAGTCAACCAGTTCAAAGAACACAACTAATTAAAGAATTACGCTTCATTTTGTTTCTTGCTTACAAATGATGATATTTTAATGTATATTTATATGTATTTACGTTTACGGTTTCACTTGTTTTATTATAAGATAGTTTTACTTGTGATTACTGCTTCCTAATCTCTGAAATTGTTTTCACTAAGGTGAAGGAAACGTTCCTGTTAATTGTAGATCTCAGCGTATTTTAAAACTATTTCACATTGTGTTAAGAGGTGGGTTTCGTTTAGGTTAAAAGTATGCTGAAAGTATTTTTACAATTAATCACATACAAAGTAATCAATATACTGATGTATTTAGTCTTCTACCAACCACCAATGAGTTAAATTCTCTATTTTTTTTCAAAATTTTTATCATTGCTCCTACATGTTTATAAAATTAGCACTGTTTTATACTTTGTTTTGCTTACAAAAAGTATCTTAGTAAATATTAAATCGCAGTAAGATAATCTTCATAAAATGCTTTAATAAATGAATATAAGCCCTGTTTGTGGAAAATTTCAGTCTGATTTGTTGTGGCTGTACTGAAAACATTTTGTATATTGGTTGATTCTTAAGGCTGTGAGTTAGGTAGCTACCATTAACCATAAGTGTATTAAAATCAAACTCATTTTGAATATACAAATATATATTTGTGAACTTTTCAAAAAATTCTGTTTTATGTCTTCTGACAAGTTTATGACATCAATGATGATATTATTTTAGACAGTGTTGTAGACCGAAATAAATAAATCGAGAGAATTAAAAGAGGTTAAAGTTCATTCTAGCACTTAGATCTAAAATAGGGAATAAAACTTCCTTTTTTCAACAAAATAGGAACAAAACAAAATCTATTACTCATTTCTTTCTGGTTTAAAATGGCGCAAACTTGATCATAAACATAATATAGCCAAATCTCATTAAGTGTAGATTAGCTGTAAGCATAAGAAACACTGCAACTTTGGTGTGCTTAAATCACATAAAGTACCTAACATTTATTAAAATATGTGAAAGGTATTGGAATTTTTATGCTACTAGATTCTCTGGTATCTAGAGCTGAAGGAGTCAACATGATGTGATTCAGGTCAAATATGTCCATACTTTGCTATTGAAGTAACTGTCTAATCTTGTGTTTGCACTGATCAAAGTGTATTGGTCAAGTGAAAAGTGTAGTATGCTTCTATAAGCTATACTGCTATATTAGATGTTAAACTTCAGTCCATAAGAAGTTTCAGACTCAGTTTTCTTGTTTATCAGAGCCAAAAAGGACAAAATCTAGGACCTGGGTTCCTTACCATACGAATCATAACATCTAGTAAAGTTTCCACGGCATAAATTAGCAGTAACTTGTTAAAACAAAGTTGTCTAAGATGTCTGTAATCACCATAATTCAGAGACCCAGTTAAATATTATTTTGACCGTTTGACATGAGGCTGTGTATGTAAGTTAAATGACATCTAATATTAAATTGGAATCTGATGTAATTTCCTCACACAAAAAGATTTGTTCTTGGAGGTGGCTATCTTGATCTTTACCAAAATTTTCGATCTCAGTAACTTTCTAGAAAACCAGGGAAAGCAGATTATAACCACGTTAAAGTTTTATCGAGATCTGAAGGCCAAAGAAGATCAGCAACATCGATCTCTGGGAGCAAACCAACCAGGAACCAGTTGTACAACAAATATGCAGGAAGAAATGGAGGTGGATTGGCTATACTCTGTGAAAACAAACCATCAAATGATATCCCACACCAGGCTCTCTCTCGAGTGGGAAGCGGCGAGTTGGTCTTCAGTGCGAGGGTGACATGGAGGAGGTCATGTGAAGAGGAGATGAAAGCATGTGGGCAGACGTGGAGCCAGGTGAAAACGTTGGCAGAGAACCAAACGCAATGCAGACGTGCGGCTGAAGCCCTGTGTTCCTATAGGAATTAAAGGAAACTATAATAATAATGTTTTATCGATCTAAATGATCACTGATTTCTAGATGAATTACGGATTTCATTGAGTCCTTTAAATTTCATAGGATTATAGTGGCAGTATTTCGTAAAAATGTCTAATAATCGATACTGTTTAAAAGAGATCCACTTTGTCAAAAACAGTTGTCACACAGAGATACAAGATTTTTTCGTGGAGTTCCCGATTAGTTCCAAGGAAAATTATTTACTTATTTGTACATATGCCAAGGGGTTTTGACTTCAATTGTTTTCAAGAGTTCTACCTAGAAAAAACAACTTTTGGATTGTGTGAAACGGAATTAGTGGTTACATAATGTTGATTAATCTGAGTATTTTGAAACCATTCGCGTTGTTCTATACTGTTTACTAGTCAACTCTAGGCGATCTAAGAACCGGAATGCTATTTCGCTCACTCAAGGCGAAATTCATCGACGGCGTGCTCACATTTATTCAGCTCTGAAATCAAAATGAGTTTAGATCACCTCCATCTAGCCACTGGTTGATGTGATGTCATATCAATCAGCGGTACATGTCACGTTGCAGACCTTACTTGATTTATTCGCATCATTTACGGTGCCAAACATTTACCATATTGTGATGTGAATTTTTTGCATTTTCAGTGTAATTTGCAAACAGAGAATCTGCTTGAAATTTTAAGGTGTTCATTACAAATTTTAGAAGCTTATCTCATTCATATTTGTACATGAAAACGACTCAGTATACTGTAAAAAATGTACTTGCTTGCACTGAGTTATATGATCAGGAGGCTAAAAACTCTGTCACCACAAATTGGAAGCTCCTCTTCCGCAGATAAAAAATAAACTATGATAAAAATGTTAGGTGATAAAATAAGGTGAAATAAAGTGAAATGGAACAAGGATAAAATAATGTCTTGTGATTCGTGTATTTATTATAATAAATTAGATATAAGATAGCTTAAAGTCCCGTACAAATTGCTTTTCCACAGATAAGGTTTCGGTTTCATCCTGTATATTACTTAGTCTTCTGCTGTACAAAGCAGATGCATTTGATTATATTCCGGTGGATTTTAGCCGAGTTTGTAAGTAATATTGAAAGATCCATCGGAGATGAGATGGTTGTGGTCAGCTACAAGTTAAAGGTTAGATGAATTATTAACTGTATGATTTCCTTTTTGCAGCCAATTAGGAAGCTTCACTATGACATCCGCATTTCTAAATGTACTTATTCTTTCAATGAAATCAACATTATGCTGGCTAATTTATTCTTATGATAAGTGGACTTTGCTTTGACCCTTAATGTAATATACCCAGTTACCTTGTTATAATTTAATTGTAAACGGTTTTTATTATTACTGCCCATTTAGAACTTTTGGTGACTGATAACTCAGAAGAGCATCTCATTTGTAGTGTAAAAATTTGTGGTTTCCTTTTCAACAAAAATATTTTCTGGCCAATAAGAGAGCAGACATTTCTTTCAGTTACTCTGACTACAGCTTGGAATGTCATGCGTCCAGTAAATGAATAGATAAGGTTATTAGTTTATTGTGCATATGTTTGTATGAATTTTTTAGAATTATTGTGCGGTATACTGAAGGATGAATTGTATATTTACAAAAAGTAGCTGTCTTTGTAATGCTGGATATCTAAAATATTTTATAACTTTAACAATTTATTACTAATTAATTTCTTAATCTATGAAGCTTCCAGTCACACTAAATTATGAAAACAAGGCACTTTTTGTGAACTGTAATAATCTAATACCGGTTTCTGGCAACAGTGTGAGTACATATTGTTTTATGTAGTTAGGCTCTCTGTCTAAATTAGTGCATTATAGTACAGTGCAGGTATCATTCACTTCTACCATTCATCAAATTTTATAAATCTAGGGTTAATACTGCATAATTGCTGTGTTATTTGTTTCAGAAACCATCTAGATATGGTTAGAGTAGGTGAATTATACAACTAGCGTCATTTATTGAGGTTTGGTACAAGAAGTGAGAAAATCTAATAAGAAATAACTGTTCATTTGAATGATCAACTCTTAATGCACTGAAGTTTATATCTATTTTTTTTTATTTTAAAGTCCGTAAGTGAAAAATTATATGCTATTAAATTTTTCAGGCCAGAAAGATCAAATCTGCACCACGTGGCAGTGCAAAACGAATAATACAGCGTCTTGTGCCAGGTTTACTACCATCACACCCATGTTCTCCATGGACAGAGACAAAACTGTCCACAGTTCTTGTAGACCCAAGACAGTCAACAACTTGTACAGTGCAAGCATTACGAAGTGTTGCCAACTGGTCGTTGGGAATTCAGTCAGCTCACAAGAAAGGATTTCGTGAATCTTTCCGACAAATTTTCCATCAAAATTTACATACTGTAACTATTAAAGATGTGCATTCGGATGAGAATAAACACCAAATAGGATTGGAAAAGTCCGTTCTGTCAGCATATCTTACTACTATACAAGAAGCAGAACATTTTATATACATCGAAAATCAGTATTTTGTTAGCTACATTCTTGGGTCACTAGAAGAATACGAACAAGCAGGTTTTTCAATCGAAGACGTCTTAGAGGGAAAATGTTCTGACAAGCCAACATCTGATTATCTACCACCTAGCCACTCTAGCGGTTTGGTTAAAAATCGTATATGTGAAGCAATCTATCTCAGGATTTTACGAGCTTACAAGTAAGTGCACTTAAATGGCTTAAATAATAATGTAGTGTATTATGCAGCTACCAGTAATTATTATTCCATTATACTATACAAGTACGTGTATGCAGTAATTCAAATTGATAACAGCATAATTATTGAAGTCTAAGCTAAAACCTACTACACGGTAGGATTCACACTAATAACAGTCTCACGTGTACCTTAAAACATTTTAACTGGATCAGTTAACAATGTCTAAGCGTTTCTTGGGAGGACAAGTAGCTGGTATATTTAAATGCAGTGCCGTGACTCTTGTTAGATTTAGTCGGCTTATAGTATTCGAGACAAGTTATCTCTTCCTTAAAGTTGCTTCTAATAGTATCTTCATTATTTCAGATTTCTGTTTTGTTTTGTCAGGTTTATGGATTACACAAAACTTTCATCACGTCCCCAGAAGACACTACACAAAATGCCGCCCATATATACGAAATAAGTGGGCATGAAATAACTGTTAAGGACACATTTTACTTTCGTTTATTTGTTTTAAGTACTGACAGTCAGTCAAATAAGACTACAAATATCAGAGTGAAACTGTAATGTGCTGCTGAATCCTTATGTTCCACTCGGAGCCCAAAGGAATAATAATAATAAGTACTGACACCAGTGCTTTTACATCCTAATAAAAATTTAAGTTCTCATAAAATTTACGCATTATTACAATGGTATAAATGTGTTCATCTCTTGTCACCACGCAAATCCTGTTCATTCAATAATACTCTCTCACTTGCATCTTTGTCTTTAGTAGTTTTATTTAAAAATTTGTTCTGCATTTATGTGTGCACTGTCCGAAGTGTGGTAACATGAAATCATGCAATATTTTCAAAATTCTACTTTGTTAAGTTGGTGAGTCAGTTTACCATCACAATTATTCGTGATTGTTCGAACAGATAAGCTTTATTCTTTATAGTGATGACCACAAAATCTCATGACTAGAGTTTCGTTGTAGAATTGCAAAAATACTGAGTGTATTTCATGGTGAAACAGAAACTGTGCTTCTTTTTATGAATTAAATGTAAATCACGAATTTTCTTCCGAATTTCTGCATTGTACGGATATGTACGTTGGGTAGGGGGGAGTAGATATATATTTCAGCAGTTTGGTGCCAAAAGTATAAATATTGAGTGTTACTAGATAGTAAAAGGTTTTATTCTGGTGTAGATATTTATTAACACAAAGATAAGATGGTCAATACATTTTTATGTAATATAATGACTTTCATCTGCTCAGAAAAGTATTTTGAATAAGGAAAAATAAACTGGCAACAGATCTTGTGGATCTAGAAATTTCAGTTATTTAGTTTGTACGATTTTATCGTTAATAACAGAGGTATGCGAAAACATTTACAAAACTATGCCTGAGGTGGTTTGCGTAAATCTTTCAATAGATATGAATGTACGCTTTATTGTTTAATGAGAAAACAAAACAAGTAGTTTAGCGAAAAGGCTGTCCCCAGTGTATGATAATCACATACTTCATGCTGTCTTTTTTCAAAATAAAAAACCCATCCCCAGGCATCATAAAAATAAGCAATATAATGCGGTCTAAAACTTATGCTTTTAACTAACAGGGTGACAGAGCAACAAAACATCTATCAATTTCTCAGAAGTGATAAAGTTATTTGAATGATATTACCAATTGTACTAAGTAACATAGAGATTTCATAATATGATGAGTAGGATCACTTCACATGAAGTCAGTAAATGTGGGCTGTTAGGTTTTCAGTATAAACAACCCAGGAGACTGATTAGTGAGTCCAGAAATTTGAATAATAAAAATAAAAAAATAATAGAAACATTACTACGGATTAAATATACACAAGAATTCGTTCAGAAACGTATGGTGACCTGTAAAAATATTAGGCACAGTAATGTAGATAATGGAAATGGTATGAGTAATAAAGAACGTAAAGCCTCGATAGTACTGCCATATTAGGAAGGGAAATCAGCAATCCTGAGTAGGATTTTGATAAGACTGGAATTAGGGTGGCATTTAAATCAACCAACTCACTCAGAAGTAAACTCAATGCGATTGATCTAGTTAGTGAGAATAATATAATTTATAATTTAAATACCATTTGCTGACTTTGAGGCTAACTGCATAAGAGAAACTAGTAGATCGGAGTCATTTAGGTTATCAGAACCTAGAAATTTATCTAGATCTAGAATAATGGACCTCGCTTAGTTAAGCGAGTTAGGAAAACGATCATTTAGTACCGTGGATGCTTCTGCGTGTTATTACACAAAAGGTTGAGGCAGGGTAGACGTGGTAAAAGTAATATGATTAAGTGGAGAGAAAGTTTAGTTACTGAATCCTTATCGTTTGATTCTAAGCTAAATACCTACTATAGAATTCATGGAGCAGCTGAACCAGATATATAGAAGATCGTGTTGAAAACTAGAGAGAGTAAAGGTGTATGAACAAGTTAGAAATTTATGTGAAAACAGTGATGCAGTTATGAGCAATCAGTTATGCTCAAAAGGTCATCAGTAAATAAATAATATTGTATCATTGTGTTTTATCAGATAAACTCATCTAACATGAAATTTTAATTTACATACATTAGGATTATAAAACGCTTTTCTTGTGAATGTACATATAGTGGTCGCCGAGCTGGAAATATATGTGTCCTACTATTGCTTTTAGAAGTACTTTGAAGTAATTATTGTAATTGTCAACTCAGAGACATCTTTTAAATGAAATACCCTAAATAAACTAGTGAATATCGATATTTAATCATGCAGTGAAAGTAGGTTAGGTATTTCCTGGTACGTATATGGAAAACTACAGTATATACTGGAATGAGAATTTACTGTAAGCCCTTTAAAATTTAAGAGTAATATTAATTAATCGGAATAAATGGAGTGTAGTTGGAGTGACCTCAACTATTATTGTACACTCTAAAGATTAAACTAAATTTCTGCATAGCAAGGAGTACTCTGAACCATTAAGATAATTTGTAGCCCAGATGAATTATATTGGTGTAGTTGTGTCATCTGAGCTGAATGGTTTATTTCAGAAACTTTCAATGTCTTCCTAGATGATATCTTTAGCGCAAACTTCAGTATGAAGTAAATGTATTTGAATTCTCTATTATTGATAGGATCGTTTTTCTCGTAAGAACTTTGGTTGTGATTATTTATTAATGCACACCACAGTATCGGTCATTTTATTTACCTGGAATTTGACTTTTTTGTCGTGTAACTTGTTCTTTTTTGTTCAGTAAATTTGATCTATGTTGATATCTCTTCTCAGTGCAAATTCATTTGAGTATACGGCTTCTAGGAATTCTTTGACATTTTTGGAGTTTGTTTTTTGTAAGATTCATACATTTTTCCAGTCGAATTGATGCTCGTAGTTGTCAACATGAGACGACAGATTTCATGTATTTTGAAAGCTCGTTTTTATTCATGCATCTGAAGACGAAGTGGGCGTCCACCATGGCCAATATAATGTTCTTCACTGCTGTTGCAGTTTTTCCTGAAGATTACATTGGTTTTACCTTCTTTCATTGTTGCGTCTCTTCGTTAACATGGCATATACTGAAGTGATTTTGTTACTTTATGACTACCATTCATACTAAGACTTTTAAAAATCTTGTGTTGAATGTAGAGATATTTTTCATGTATAATTAGACGATTTTCTTGGCGCTTTCACTCAGCTGTTTTGGGTTGGTCTGCTGGGCTGATGGTGTATATCTTTTGATGATATTATGTAGATAACCACTTTTGTGGAAGACCACCGTAAGATATTTCTCCTCTGTCCTCTTAAAGAAAGGAGTGATTCAATATATCCTGGATCTTTTGAATAATGCTTGTATGTAACCTGTTTTGTATACCGTTGGGATGTTATTGTTGTGTTTAAATATTTGATCTCTTTGAGTTGGTTTTCTGTATAATTTCGTTTCTACTTTTGTTCGCTTGTTCCTCAGACAAGACGTCTGATTTTTCATTTATATTATGTGGATGGGAAAATGATAAAGTTGATGCTTCGGAACACAACTAGGATTTATTTCAATAAATTATGCATTTATTATAGGTCCCATCTTGTCACTGTTAATGTTAATTAATTCTCTAAATATCTTTTTTTCGCAAGATGTGGTCATAATTTAAGCTTAGTTTATGATTATTTTTATTGTACATAGAGTTGTTAGGATTGGATACTTCAGTTAAAGCATGTTACATTAATAATTTTGATCTTGTCAACTAGACGACGGTTAGTGATAAATCTAGTGATTATTAAATATTATAGCGTTAAACCTACCATGAATGCATTTCCTCTGACTTTCTTATATGGTATTTTCCTAGTGATTTTAAAATTTTATTAGCTGATAAGTTACACAAAGATGACCAAAAATATTTAATAAGCACTCTACATCCAATTATTTCTTTATTTTAGTGAGGGGCGTTCATTCCGTGTGTACATAGTGCTGCCTTCACTGACTGCATTCAAAGGTGAAGTTGGGACTTCCTCTGGGACTTATATTCATGTAATTCTAAAGTATATTAGACAAAGCTTGTTTGTCGGTGAATATGCTTTGATTCCACGACTGAAACAAGTTATACCAAACCCTGAAGACTACGTTTCAATATGCAGCTTACGAACGTATGATGAATGGCCTGATGGTACAATAGTATGTCAAAAATTATTCAGTAAATAAATTTGTTGCTATGCTTATATATGTCGATGAAATGTTTTAAAACACATTATCAATGTAATAAAGCCTGTAGATAAAAATTTCCCATCAGAATTAAGCTGTAATGTTTTGTTCGTATAAAAAGCCTTCTGCATACAAGATGTTTCTCGATGGTATCCAAGGTGGAGATACTTATTAATGGTTCAGTGTGACATTCAGTAGGACATGATTTCTTTACAGTAATTGGGCATAACAATTGAAAGTAATTCAAACTGAATAAAAGGTTCATTAAAAATTTCGAAAGAATAACTGTTAATAAAAGAATATTTTTAGATGACTTCATCAGGTACCACAGTTATATATCCATGATAGTTAACGAATTATTGTTACTGACACTAGAGACTATTTTCAAAAGAATCACCAAATGAGGATTAAGATAGAAGTAAAGATGTAACAGAATCCGAAGTGCAGTCAAACGATTAAATATTCTAAAAAACTATTAATGCCATCTAATAGCTTGAGTTCCATCTTCATTAGCTATGGTTTTTGGGTAGATAAACCGTGGACATAATTGCATCATTGACAAAAATGTGGTAGCATTCAGTCGTCATATTTATATATATGTTCGGGATAGTGTAGTATTTATGAACAACTACTAAGAAATTTTCATTAGTGCGTTGGTGGCACAGCGGTAAGGACGTTCGTCAACCATGCAGATGGTCCGGGGTTCGATCCCCGGCAGACGTGCTCCTTTACCTCGCTAAGCCAGAAATAAGGCTGATAAAGAGCAAAGGCCGAGCATGAGGCTAGCAATCCCATCCTGTAAAAATAAACACTGCTACAGAAACTTCAAGCCTCTAGCTTGAAGCCCTCTGTCCCCCTGGGAACGTTAAGGAATGAAAAAATAAACAAAATTAGTCCTTATAGATTTATTGTTTTCGGAATGAGCACTGATGTTGAAATTCTGACCAAAGCTAGCACCTCCGTTTCAAGAATTCAAAGCTCCAACAGTAATAAAGTTACAAGACTATCAGAAGCCTAAATTGTAAACATAATCATCACTTTTTCAAAAAAAGATATTGTTTTCATGCAGTTAAAGATCAATAAGGAACTGCTAATCCTTTGAACTTTGATTCAGGTCTTCAAAGCGAAGTGTATCATTAATTACTGTAGTCACTAGGATGACTAAAATTCATCTGCAGTTAGGTGCAGCTAACAGAGGTGATGATGCATGGCAGTGATACAGACTTATCCATTGTTTATTTTCCTTTTGACTTATGTAGCTTAAGCGTCTTGTATTTCCTTTCATTGTTTGTAATCTCGACTCAAGTATCAGCTGTTTAACTCCTAAATCCTGACATCTTTAAACATCCTGATAAAACTCTATTCTCCTTTATATTTGTTGGACAACACCGAACTGCTCAGCTGACAGGAATAACCTTAATTACGATTCGCTTATTGGATCACTAGAATGTAATTGACTTTCTTCGTCTAAGAAGGATGAAGTCTTATCTGTTCAATGAGCCATAGAATCTGGAACACTTGCAGCGCTGACACCATGAAAGTAGATCTGAACATTCTGAAAGGGATTCTCAGTGAAAATAACTATCCCTAAAGCTTCATCACAAAATCTGTGAAGCCTACTTGAATAAAACCGCACATGGTTTGTTCCCCGAGACACTTCTCTATCTGATTCTGCAGTTCAATACATAGTCATTGGTAGTAATACTTAGAAACTACTTGTCCCAGTCATTAAAGGAAACCTTCTTTGCGTCTGAACTTCGATTAATTTTGTCTCCAAAACAGACCATTCATAAATATATACCTATCAGTTCACCTGCTCCAATGGAGGTAGGTATATCGGTCATACTCACATTTCGCTATCCAAACGCGTCATCGATCACTTACTCTTATGGGCTTACCGAGGGAATAAAAACTGCTATCGTAGTTCTATTCTAGAACATCTGGTCGAATCCAGACACTGGGCTATTGTACAGCTGGAGAATGATATCGCTGAAAAGAGTAACTCTTCTCCGAAAGTCTTTTGTTTTATATCACTCAATTTGGATTTCTAATCCTCAAAATATGTGCATAGTTAGGTACTGTGTGATCAACATCAGAAAGATAATCATTTCACAAAGCACAGCAGACTCTATCGTTTGAGCTCTCCTAAAAAATTCAGCTCAGTAGGAAAATATTTTAAAACACTTCTCCTGATTTCTAAAAAGGTGTAAAGCATATTCTAAGTTTCTTAATAATACTTTTTAAATGCCTTTGTTTAGATTCAAATGAACTGTCGTCAATATTTGACAGAATAGTTCTAAAATATTTGGGCGCCGAGTGAGAAGTAGACATTAGTAAAAAATTATATTTGTAAAATCTCAACGAGATTGAAATGAGTAATTCTATTAAACTCTAATCCTAAACACCATTATTTTGAAAATACGTCTATTCATAAAATTCCAGATACTAACAGTTTGAACAGACATGAAGGCGTGATGTTAGCTGATGCATAGGAAACCCTTATTAATAAATAAAAAATGGATATGTATCACTAATTATTAGTACTTGGTCAAAATTCTTGACTGTCCATATCTTCTTATGGAGACGTTAAGAAATGTTTTACAACTGTTTACCCACACACACATACACACTCTGTTTAAAGTGTAGATCAATATTTGTAAGTCGGAGGTCAAATTGTGGTCACAGCTCATAAAATTTTGTTTATTATACTTGTTGAATGACTCATGATTGGACAAAGTTTTTAAAAACAAGTGATGTTCCTTTTATACATAAACCTCTGTTATGTTAATTTCGATTAATTTCCCTGAAGAAGTTCGGACCAGATTGCCGAACGAAACGTTGGAATTACTCATTTCAATCTCGCTGAGATTTTACAAATATAATTTTTTACAAATGCCTTTGTTTAGACTATTTTAACGAACACGTATTTTTGGTTAACATGTTACTGAAATAAAGTCTTTGAAGATTTTTAAATTCTCAAATGTTTATAACAATGATGTTCTTTTATTAGGATGGTAAATCTCTTCGAGTAGTTCTCTACTTGTTTGCTTTTCATCCTCTTCTATTTTTTTTTCTTATTTCAGAAATCAGAACTGATTTATGTTCACAGTAAAGTGATGATTATTGATGATAAAAAAATGATTCTAGGATCAGCTAATATAAATGATCGTAGTATGCTGGGTTTTCGTGACAGTGAATTAGGCATCATAATTGAAAGTAACTCAGACAATGATCTTATTGATGGAAAATTTAACGGGATAGATGTAAAAGTTCATCCATTTGTACAAAGATTTCGAAGAAGTTTAATGGCTGAATTTCTCGGAATATTACCAAAATCTTCAAGAGAATCTAGACATAGTATGAATCATGACTTATTAGATGATCCAGTATCAGATGGATTTTTTCATAATTTATGGAATGGAACTGCTGTTAGTAATGGAGAACTTTTTGAAAAAGTGAGCCCAATTGTTTTGTCGTTGCTTCTTTTTTGTCTACTTTTATGAAAAGCATTTACTTTGCAAAAACTATGTATTCGAAAAATTTGTTATAGCGAATTTTGAATCCAGGGATTAATACTTTCATTGGAACATAAATAAATGCATACATGTATGCACTAAAATTCCATACACACATTACGGTAAGGATATCATTTTCAATGTTAAGTAGATGAAACACATTACACTTTCTTATTAGAAAAAAAATTAAGGAAACACTTATGGAATCCATAGTTCTTTAATATGAAAAGTAACACTCATTGCATATGCTAATTAAACTGTGAATGATAGTGAAACATACTTACTAAACTTGCTTTTGATTCACAGTTCTATAGAATCAAATGAATAATTGATGTAATCTGAAAACTTTAAGTATTTAAAAAGCCGTTGCTTAATTGCTAGTCTGAATGTATGTATGAAACTCTCAAGGTACACTAGCTTACAATAGTCATAGTGCATTCCGTGGTACAGTGGTAGAATGCTCGCCATTCAAGCATGTAGTTCGGGGTTCGATCCCCGGCTCCTCCACCTCGCAAAGCCAGTAATAAAACTGATGATGAGGGAAGGTTGAGCATGAGGCTAGCAACTTCATCCAGTAAAAAATAAACACAACTGCTGTCGAATCTTCAAGCCTCTAGCTTGAAGCCGTATGCTCCACTGAGAATATAAAGGAATAAAAAAACAATATAAATAATAAACATGTTGATATTAAATAACTCAGTTGAGATCAAGTTGTCGACATTTTTTAGTTCATTCCATATCATAATGATGAACTAATGTTACTGACGGATATGCATACACATTTCTGACTTGAATAACTCTTAGAGTTCCACTTTTTGATCAAAACTGAAGGTAAAGAGTTCATTTGCAACAAAAGATTCCTTTAACTGAAAAAGAAACTTAAACATAATATTAAAGGATGACAGAATAAGGGAATTCGGAGACAAAAATGTGGAAAAAGTCAAGTTTTGATAGCATTATAATGTGTAGCTTAATGGCTGTTACAAACTTGATCAAGGTTTAAGCGGTTTAAAGCTTCGTCCTAAGTATTTCCCACTGTGTCACAAGTCTTAATTATCCTGCTTATGCTTATTTGAATGTATTTCTTACCCAGCACTTATATGGAACTGAATGATAAATATTGCAAACAACTTATTTATTTCAATATTTTCACCACTCAAATTTCCATAAATGATGTATTTTTAAAGTTTCTTTAACCTGAAGTCGCTTTACTCAATTTCATCTGACAGATGTAGTATGTTCGAACATCTTTTATAGTCACGAAGCTGTCAAAATCAGTGCTTGAATATTATGAAATTCAAAGTAGAAGTTGACCTTTTTGAGTATGTATATATATATATTAAATTCGACTTAAATAATATGGTGAGGGTTTGTAGCTCAGACGGATGATATAGGTGTAGTTATGTTCTCTGAGCTCGACATTAGAAAACACGAAAACCCTAGCGAAAGTCAGGTATCTACCAGAGATCAGTTATTCTATTTCCACGAATGCCTCCTTTATCGAATCCTACCAGCCATTCTCGGGTAAAGATCACTAATCAGTTGTCCATTTGAGTGGAAATCATCTGGACACTGTGAAAAAACCAACAGTCATAATAATCACTACAGATGACCATTAAAGGATTCCGAAATGCCAACTCGTAATCGCCATTTAAAAGTGAAAAGTGAGAAAGATTTTCAGAAAACAGCACCTATCAACGTTAACTGTCGTGATTGCATTACCAAGTAGACGACATAAAGAAAAAGACGAAATGCTACTGAAGAAAAATTAACAGAGATTACAAAATAGGAAACTGGTGGTGCACCAACTGATTACTTGGTCAAATTTTTCAAAACGACTACAGTCAAAAATGAACCAATCACTCCTTTACAAAAAAATGAACTACAATACTGATGGTGCTTCAGAAATTGATTTATTCGTCACTATAGAATTATCGCGCAAATCATCCAGAATAAATGAAGAAATATATAACAAGAGATAAGCCAATCAATAGCACCTGAGATCAAACAGCGAAAGTACCCTACATAACTAACTTCTCAAGAACAGAAGTCTAACAGAAGCATGAAAAATGGTACAAAATGAAAGGAATACACTACATAGGCTGAAAACTTGCTCAAAGATAAAGATAAATATCAACAGCTCACTAAATATTCTGTTCGAAAATTGGATAACTGAACCTGGATAACGCTAAACAAATTTGTCAAAGTAGATAAGATAACAAATAACAATCAGTGACGAATAATAGTTCTTTCCTACTCAGAATTTACTCTTGACTGTAAGTATGCGGACCAAATATGCCCCTATGACCGATAGTTTTATTTCCCTGAATCATAACTTTCAACTTGTCAAAAGATCTCTACATAAAACTAGAATATTTAAATAAATCCAATGATCACTCCATCAGATCTCCAACTCAATTTCCGGCGGAAATCAAAGTCATTCAAGGAAATGACGATCTGTCAACGTCACAGCACCATACACTTTGAGTGAACAAAAAACTAATAAAGAAAACCATGCAATAATCACTCAACAATGATAAATGCTGGACGCTCAGAAATACAATGTTCAAGTTCGATGGATTACATAAGTTTACATTAATTAAGACATTTTCATTTCAGTGATCAAATATATGACACCCATATCAAGACTGGTTGCTAAAGCTGTTATACAAACGCTTGAAACCATAATTCGACCAATGACCCACCCGCCAAACTTGGACACGTTACGTGGATGAGACACTTTCGGATCAACAAAATAATCAGCACCATTACGTGTAAACTAGAGAGTGGAAAAATTCTCAGAATCAGCCAGTCACTCTCAAGATTACCAGAATTCTTAAAGCTCACTTCAAATTGAAGTATGCGCTGAAGATGTTTCCTAGGCAGATAGTGGAGGCTTTGGAATTAAACCATCCAGTTCACAGAACACAAATATAGTAAATTATATATATATGTATATGAGTGAATCAAAGAAATATAAACCCCTAACAACTGTATAATATTTGTGTCATTAGTGTTAACAAAACACAATGAAGATGCATAATATCTAGTTGGAAATATTGTTTTGGACCTTTTTTACATAATGTTTACTTAGCTTGATATATGTTTGTTTTCTGTCATCCTCACATCTTTACTGATTAACAAAAATTAAATATTTTAAGTGGTAAATCAAAAACTTTCTGCGTTAGTCGGTAAACGAGAAAGCTCTAGGCTGAACTTCTGCAGGAACTTTCTGAAAGGTGTAACAACAGACGATAAGTTATTTATACGCTTTAAGCAACAGTTATAAAAGATGCGGAGTATTTATTATATTTGTGTGAATAACAAGTAAACTATTGAGTTTCACCAAGTAATGAATCCATCCTAATAATAAGAAACTTTTTCTAGTCACCTGGAGTAACATTATGTCATTCTTATTATTTACTTCTGCACTTCAGCATGTCATTCAAGTTGTTCTTTGAAATGACTATAAATTTGATAAACAGATGTATGCCTATATAAATACATATATATGTATATGCAGCAAACAATATTTTGCTTATTATTTTTAGATCTGGTATATTTAAAAAACTACAATCTCTGATTTATGCTTACCTTATCTTTGCACGAATCCATGCTTTAATGTTTATGCTTTGTAAAAGTAAAACGATACAATCAGATATGTCTTATTTTATTATTATTTTTTTACTAAAATAGATTTTCAACTGTATTCCTGCATCGGATTTGTTAACATTTCGACAATGTGTTGAAAGGAGAAATCAAATCCCGTTGATAAGAAGTGATCGACAAAAAGCACTTGAGTTACTTAAAGAAATTAAAGGCTACTTAATACCCTTTTATCCTGATTTTCTTGCAAATGAATCTCTTGAATGTCCAGTAGGAAGTATTGAACGAATGATTCCAGAAGTGGTATGGACTTGAAAAATTTATTTTGAAAATACCAATGACCAAGTGCACAACTCTTGATATGGAAACCATTCTTTCAAGAAAGAGAATGAATATTAACTTTAGAAAAATTCTAATTTTATTTGAAGAATCTTTATTTACATACTTATGTCTTCCTTAAAGTCTTTATGTTCTAACTTAGATTTTTATGCACTTTACCTTATTTTTGTTGGGTACTCATATTTTATATTCACTACTTTTGTAAATTTATTAGTTTTTTTTCTAACGATGTAACGTCTTTCAAAAATCAAAAAACATTATGAAACTTGATGTGTATAAATGCCTGAACAGGGTAGAAACTAACTTTCAGATTTTGAAAAGTCTTTGAAAGCTCTGTAAAACTAGGAGAATGATTGTGATAAAAATTAACTCTGATCAATAAAAGTGGACCGGTGAAAATGCTGAGTCAGTTTTATTGGGCAGAAACATCTCATTGATAATATTACTCACTTTAGTTTCAACGAAATTGTTTCTTGAATGTAGATTTCCAGTTACTATTGTTTGACGTTTTTTTAAAGAAATTTATTCTATTCCATCATTGGTGATAGAAACCAGTCTCAGCAATATAGATTTTCACTATTAACTTACATGGTATAAAATTCCTCGACTAACGGAATAAAAATGTACTATTTATTTGTAATTGGTTTTATGAACTGACGAAATTTTTCTTAAAGTGTGATTTGTCATTTACTGACTAAAGCGCCTTATCACCATCTGAAAGAAAATGCAAATCATGACATACTGCTCATTTACAGTTCTCTCTCATTGAAAAATTTGTAATACAAAACAGGCACCCAATAAAGTTTTTCCTTTGTATTCTTTGTTTTTGTCTTTAAAAAAGCCTTTGGATGACAAATATATCTGTATTGCATACAGCATTGTATTTGTTTTCTTTATGGATAATGCCTAACGCTACAACAGTTAATAAATTTGAGGTAATTAAGAGCATTTACAGAGAATTTTTGTTAGACACATATAGGCTCATAGTATTTTAGTAAACTTATTAAGCACTTTTCAAGTATTCGTTTTGTAGAAAATTTTGTTTGATATGTTTGTTGATTTTCTTTGTCCAGTACTCCGAGGTTTTCCAGTGGTTCTCTAACTCATGTCAGTTCGTGATGAAATCCTCCAACCAATTAAACAAAATTCCTACAAAACCAATACTTGAAAATCAATCTGATACTCACTAGCGACTGGCTGTATTCAGGCAGTTAACCTGGAGTTCTAGTGAGAAACCGTGACCACTGGGGTATAGCAGGTTAAAGGTGAGGCAGTAACTCATTGAAGAGGACATTGCGAAGTGGTCACACTATGTCATGAACCGGTAGAAGTTAGAATTCATGGGCTGGCTTGGGTTCGAACCCCAGTGGGTGCGTACTGACGAAGAGTCCCAAACTAGGCTGACGAAACAGCTGTCCGGTACTCCTTGGTGGGTTTTCCAATGGTTCTCTAACTGATGTCAGCTCATGATAAAATACTCCAACTTATTAAGCAATGGTTTCTATTCTGTGATAATTTCTAACTCAGTAAAGAATATACCAGGAACCAATGCTCTGATTTAATCAGAATAGGCTCAGTTGGTATTGTCAATTATGACATGTCACTGTACATTCCACCTAACTTTAACCAACTGCCATTATAAATATTTTATGTGCGTATATCAGACATCAGTTAGAATAAGCATGGACGCAACTTTGTGAGCTTCAGGTTTTACTAATAATACACGATTCCAAGACTTCTCCTTTGCATTTCGGTATATTTTAATTATGTATTTATAAATCTCAGAATTATAGTGCATTAGAAAGGATCATAATGTAGTTGCATTTACGTGTGAGCATTAGGAATCTACGCTTGAGTTAAGGGTTATTAGAATTGGAAATAGTTATGCATCGATAAATTCCACGACACTTTTATCTACCCGTCTCTCTCTATCTTTGTAATAATCAACGAAAAGAAATACCCATCGTACTCAAAGTAATATTTAGAAACGATAATTGAGAATAATTCAAATAACATCAGGAAAATGAATACGAAATCTGGAGTTGGTAATATTGACATTTAGTAAAGGTATATCAGGAGGAACTCAAAGAAATCTCAAAGGTAAATAAACTAAACAAGATGAAGATAAAATATAGTAGTCGCTAAATGGACTCGAACAATAATATCACTAGTCATGAGTGCTGTATACGTTTTTGGATAGAGGATTTCATCATGAGCTGACGTCAGTTAGAGAACCGCTGGAAAACCTGGGAGTACTGGATAGCTGTTTCGCCCTAGTTTTTTCTTGAATGGTTTGCTGCTGATCCAATTTATCAATTATTTTTACTATCAGGGTTAAAGGTTAGATTTGGGTTAGCGTTAATCGTTCGATTAGGTTTGGAACAGGATTTAGAATGAAGTAGAATTCCCCTACTAAGAAGTTTAAACATTTAAATTTACAATTTTTAAACAAACTTCTACTTCTAAGCTCTCTAAATCGAGTTTTTTTTGTTCAAAGTCCTTTGGCAGCTACCATAGTTAGGCTTCATGCTGAACGAACTTAAAACTATGTTTCCAATCAGCGTTTTGGTTATTTTATTTAAGGCTGTCATTTCATTGTGTTGACTATCTAAAAGCTTTTGACAGCTTTAAGAACAGGTGTACACTGCAAGAATTATATTATGCAAAACACATTTTGGAATCAGTGTCGAATATTAGTAATATTCCTGATTTAAATAATCCTGCGACACTCGCAACAGCACTGTGTCTCAAAAATGCATCTTATGAAGAAATATCTAAAGCCTAAAGCTTCAGTGAAAGTGTTGGACAAATTGAATAGCCTGCATTTTTTAGAATGAAGTATGCTGCCTGTAGACAGTAGAGGTATAATATTGTATGTAGGATATATATACGAAAATCTCGAAACTTATGATTCCTATTCCTTCAAGTAAACCAAACTTTGCAGTACTGATAACCACGTAACCGACAAAATTATACCAGCTACTTTCGTCTGACTAGACATTAGTGTGTGTGTGACATAACCTCGGAGTCCTTTTTCAGAGTTTCTGGAGGGATTTCTTCTGGTGCTACAGCTTTCTCCGCTTCTGGTAACACTGTCGTCTTCAAAACTTCTGCTTTTATCGGTGGGCTGGTGTTTACTGATAATTGTACATCAGTTGTTGGTAGATCTGAAAAAGTCATCAGTGGTATTCACGTCATAAGTCCTTCAAATTAGTCTGGTTAGCTTTCCGTTTATTTCACTTCTCCGACTTTTGTATGTTCTTCATTTTCTGACTCCTGAAATTGAGTTGTAATCTATCTCCAGCTACTCAAACGGGTTTCCAATCGACCGTGAGGGTTCTTTGCACTACATGATGGTCTCAACTCATATGTACTCCTCTTCTCGAATTTGTGTCCAGAAGACTGTGTATTTGCATTCTTGAGATTGGATTGAAGTCTGTCTGCTTTTGTTATGTTCATCTAATGAAACCAATGTTCCAAAGTGTATATCCTCCTGTTTGTAATTGCTGCCCAATCACTAAATCAATAAACGTACAGAAGCCTATCAATAGCTCTCCCTTGCGATTCATTTCTCTAAGAGTCTTCCAAACCGTGAAGAGTTCTCTTTTTGTGTTGTCTGCTACCAGTTTGGCACTCACATCACCCAATAGGATTTTGATGTCACCTCTAAGGATCTTGTCTATTTCTTTTTGCAGCTAATTTGCCTTTGCTTTTTGTGACATAGTTTTTATTGTTTGAATTTGTTTCCTGCTGATTTTTATTCTTAGTGCTTCATTTTACTATTGTGTGGTGATAAACTGTCGACTATAGTGTCCTGTTTTACTAATGTTGATATTCTATTCGAATGAATTCAAGGTTGCATCGTAGAGTGGCTGTCTACTGAGAATATGTTTTGTTTTAATTGATTCTTGAAGACACAATTTTGGTCCCTTTCTCTTAGGAATATTCTTGTTCTGTTTGACTTATCAACTTCACTGTATAGTAATTTTTAGCAAAGAAAACATTGGATCGTATAGTTGCCTGACTGCACTGAGGAAATATTTTGTTAAAGTTTATATGAAGCCCTTAGGGAATGGACATATTTTGTGTGAAATGATTGGTCTAAATGATTAGCGAATTATATTTCAAAGTCTGGGGGTGTTGACGTTCATGGACAGTACGATTTATACTAACACGAGATCTAATACCCAATAAATAAAATCTGGTTATATTCTTTTTGACCTTTGATATAGCTTTGTGGTGATTGACAATTTCTATCTTTGTATTGTTTAAATAATTACTGTTGTTTGTTAATATATTTATTATTTTGATTTGAAATATAATTCCGCCAAATACAAATTCCTAAATTCATCCCTCTCTGTGTTTTGGTTGAATTCCTGTGGTTCGGTCATTGCGAAATACAATACTACTATTACAAATAATAATCACAAGCTTGCTTTGAAGTTGAATTGGTTTTATTTCTAAGCTCCGAATATTTGTCTCCTGGATGTAGCAATAACTTCTGATTCTCTGACTTCATATTTCCTGGAGCTGGTCTGCTGACACACTGCACTTGTATTATTTCAGCAAAAGGCAGAAGAAGAATTAGATATTTATTTTGCTAAAAATGTTATCAGTGATCAGAATATCTTTAATTCGGCTTAGAATGTTTCCCCTTCGATCATGTTTTTCTACCCAGCAAAGCATACCGTAGGGAAATACTTGTGTGTGATTACCGATTTAATCAAGCTTAGTAAATAACCTCAAACAGCAGAATACTGAAATACGGTAAGCATCTCGGTAGACAGAATAATCAGGATAAGTAACTGATTTTGTTTCTCTGAAGTGATTTGAGTATAAGATTTTAGAAAAGAATTCTGCCAGTATCAGGTTAATTGCAGAAATAACTAACAGTATACAGAACTTAACATGATAGTGTGTGCTGATGGACAAGCAGACGATGTTGAAAGCCTAACTCCATCTTTTCGTTGTTCTACTTTCAGTGTTAAGTGAGTGTATAACTTTAATAGAATATGAGTCCTAGGAAAAATTTTTAAGAGGAAGAGAGAAGAAACGTATTGCTATTACTTTCCCCTCCAGTTTTTTCTCTATTGTCGCCACCACAATGTAGCAGGAACTTAAAACTGTTGTTTGTACAACAGGTCATTGTATTGTGAATGATATTATCACTCGAATATCTACCTCATTTCGGCGATAAACTAGTATTTGTAAGTTTCAGAGGGGAGCTGTGGATATTTAAGGAAATTTAAGGAAGCCTCTTCTCAGCCAGAGAATCAATACAGAACTTCAGCGATCACGTTCAGAAATATTGCCGTAACTATTTAACTCTCCATTAATCCAGTTTAATTAAATAAATACTACTCTTTCATGTTAGTACTATTTCACATCTACCGAAAAACAGTGATGTGGATTACTAAGTATCCATTTCATTCATAAGTAAATGCTTGTAAATAACAAAACACTAACAAATAAAATGGTATCTCAGTTGTTCTTAGAAATGTTCATTAAATGACACCATGATATCACCCAGTTTTTTCTTGCTTCAGCTTAGTGAGGTTGGAATAAATAAGCACAACGCTACCAAAGAAATCGTAAAAATGTATTCAATGCGTAAGCTTGATAACATAAAGTGTATTGTAGCGGTAAATAGTTCCCCAAAATTATTGACCACAGCAATCATCACTCAACATCGGATGCTAACCCTCACTGTTTAAGTCGACTTGTTTAGCTGAAGGCTTCCGGTCAAGCATCCTTGCCCTTTGGTACTCCGTCGTGTCACGTGCGTGCACGATCACTAGCTAGCTAAGCATTCACCTCTACCCGCGATTTGGTCCCGAAATATATCACGTACTTTGGACGACTAAATCTGA